GGGGTTGTAGGGTTTTTTGTTGTTTGGTTGTTTTTCTTTTGTTAGGGTTTTTTTTTGGAGGGGGAGGGGGTTATTCCTTGCCCACAATATGCCGAAGGCTCGGGAAGTTTTCTCACTAACAAGACAATCCCCAATGTGTGGATCGGATGCGGGAACAACTTTACTTTTTTATCCCTTGCCCATTTGTATGAGATTGGTTGATGCTATCTGATTAGTAGAAAACAGTGCGTCCAATAGTGTATTACGTGTATACTTAGTAGGAGTAGTATGACAAGTAACTGTTACAGACAGAGATTCAAGGACTATAGATGTAACGCATTGATCTGAGAGCAATGATGACTTTTAGAAATAATGATGGTGGTGAGTGATGATGTGGGATTGCCTTTAAGTAATGTTAGCGTTAGACCTATCTTCCTCTGCTCCAATGGGTCACGAGGGACGTGGGTACCCTCTATCCCGTTCCCTACTGGAACTATCTTTACGGTCGCCGTGAAGTTCCGAAAGGGTGGGCACAGTCTCTGCTAAGGTGACATTGTTAGTGTTAGTCTATTCTCGCGGGCCAAGACAAGTGTCGAGGGGAGCTAAGTGGGAAGACAGTGTAGTGGCAGGTATGATGGGGTATTCGCAAGTAACAAGTTGACAAACAGATTGAGTTATATTGTTAATTAGGGGAAGCATTTTATGATGATGTCATTAGTGACTTTTTGTACATAATAGGTTGTATTTCAATTGAGGGTTTTTTTCTGCATAGTTTTATATTTATACGTGTAATTGTTCATCTGGGCTTTATATTCTGCACAGTTTTATGCATATTTGTATTTAATTTTAGCTTTTTTTTGCATAGATGTATACATCATAATACATGTATTTATTAATCATACTTGTGAGGGAGGACGATGAAACTTTTATTTTTGTGGCCATTCTTTAGTTTTGCCAGTGTTTATGATAATAAGGAAGATTTGTTGGATGTAGTCTACGATGCACAATGATGCACTCTCTTTCTCTATAATGTCTTCAAAACTCAAAGACTTGTGGAAAGACGCAAATACCGGGTGCCCATGGGCACGATCGGATCGGGTCGGGTCGGGTCGGTTTGCCAGCCAGATTGAGGGCGCCAAGCGGCTATTGTGGCACACACCGATCGCCCGACTCGTTGCCTCAATAACAAACTCGTTTGTTTTCAGGCGACGAGGAGGGAGATCACCCCGACCCGATTCCATCCGCAATGGGCACAAGGTATAATGATTTGAATTTGCTGTTTTTGTTTGACCACATTTGACCATTCCTATCTGCCCGTACACAGAACCTCCGCAAGGAGCTGACCATGCACAAGATGGACACTCTGTCTCTCATCGAAACGTTTTATATGGAGAAGAACGAACAGCAGGTAAGCTTTCTATAGATGATTACAATGTGTGTGTGTGTGTGTGTGTGTGCGTGTGCGTGTGCGTGTGCGTGTGCGTGTGCGTGTGCGTGTGCGTGTGTGCG